AATACTCCTAGTCGCTTCATGCTACGGAAACTAGAGATAAGCGCCGGCCAGCTGATGGGCCAGTTGGCTCATAAACACCCTTACCGTGAATGTTACCAGCTCTGGCCCAACACGATTATATCAGGCGTTCAATAACTTTTTCCATAAGCGGCTCTAGTGGTTGCTGTGTCTGGAAAAGGGGGTGTAAGGTTGAAACCCAAACATGAGAACCTGCTTGCAGGCTCAACAGACAGCGGTAAGAAGTTTTATGGCGGCCGTAGAACGACAGTTAGCAGCTTTTATTAAATCCCTGATTATTTCTGGATCAAAATCTTAACTTTTCAGTCAAAAACACAGGAAAGTCTCACCTGCTTGAATTGCCTCTGTCTGAAGTACACATTAGCGGCATTATAATAAGCGAGAGCATACGATGGATCTGTTTTCACTGCCGCTTGGTAATCACGGATGGCATTCACGAAGTCTCCCATAAACTTTGGAAAAAGGGAGAGAAAATACTTAATATACTATAATCAAAGCCGCATGGTTATATAGAGAAACTGCACATTTACTTCGGGTAGGTAGAGAAAGGCAAACAGTAATAACAAAAGTGAAGTTAAGTATCCGAACAATTTTTCCATTGATGCTATATTTAGCATTAGTGCTGGGATGTACTTCTTTCCAACCGAGTTCGAGTTCCGTACCGTAATTTAAGGACCGAGTTTTCCCCCTCGGATTTATGGCCTTCGCGCTTAGGCCATAAATCTGAAAGGAAAAACCAGATTCCTTAGCTAGCAGTGGGCACTGAGAGAGCCAGGTTAGTAAGGTATCTTTTGATATCTCTGGGTTCAAATAGAGGGGGGAGATTTGAATTCATACAGACTTTTGAATTTAGTGAACCATGCAGTAAAATACGGCCCGCCAAATTGACCATCATAGCGCATGCACAAACTGAAAGATACAATAAAAAATGTTTCACACCTGCTGAACCACTCCGCGATTAGTTAACAATTCCGCAGTCTTAGAAATCTGATCAAACAACAATAATAAATAAATAGTGATAACTTTTATAGAAAGAAGACACCTCATACTGAAATAACAATACAAAATCCAAGACAGTTCATAATCGTGTACCAAGACAGTTAATGATCGTATACCTTTATAGCGTCATTCATATCAACAAATGCACCAAACGTATTTCCCATCTGTAAGTTCACAACGGCGCGGCCTTCCAAAGCTGACTGGCATGCTAAAAGAAGAAGAAGAAGAAAATAAGGTCACAAAAATAATACTCATAACAACTTTATCGCAGTGGCGATGTACTTAGCACCTTTCGTGACACTGTAAGCCCGACATATGAACTGAAAGAGAACATAACTGGTTAAGAATTGGAACAGATGAGTGTCACACTAGATATGCAGGAATCCTTTATTTCCCAGAAGTGATCGAAATGTAACTTCTCCCTTCTTCTCATAATATCCATATGTTATCCAACGAACAGGTAATGAAAATACTCAAACTTATGAGGTACAAGTTGTTATCTTGATCGAACACCAAATTCTCGTAACTAATTTACAAGGGAAGGAGTAGCAGTTAAAGGGGAGAATTAACAATCAGATCAAGGAGTTTAAGTGTTTACAGGGTGTGGCAGAGGAGTCAAATTTGGGACTACTGGCTTGGAAACAAATTCAGTCAAGCAACAGAGTGTAGGATCTGAGCTTGGAAACTTAGCACCCTGAGAAATTCGACCACGCCTCCTTAACAGAAAATATCAAGAGAGAACAGCACGTCATTTTACACATTTTTGTTGATGATGACGACGATGATGATAATAATAACAATAATAATAATAATAATAATAATAATAATAATCTTTACTTAGCAATGATAATAATAATAATAATAATAACAACCTTATGATTGATAAGATGGTCACTCGGGACTGTCATCGAGGTAAACGCAATTTAAGCATGGCATGAGTTGATGTTCGGAAAGCGTATGATTCTGTTGATCATAACTGGTTGATTGAGGTGATGGAAGTACACAGGGTACCCGCCTGGATTGGTAAAGTGATAAAACACCTGAGCGCAAGCTGGAAAACTAAGATCGTAGCGACTACAAAGCAAACAAGCGAAACGTATACCACCAACCGCCTCCCGGTTAGCTCAATGGATAGAGCGCTGGACTGTAATGCAGGAGGTCGAGGGTTCGAGCCCCGGCCGGACCAACATTCAGAGTCTTAAAATAAGTAAGAAGAATAAGCTGCCTTTCTATAACATCAAGAAATGGTTAGATATTCTAGTCTTCTCGGATAGGGACGAATAAATAGAGGTTCCGTCCCCTGCAGGGTTAGGGGCAGGAGACGTTAATTTCCCGCGCACGAGATTATTGTGTGATGGATGTCNAACATTGCAAGAACATTTAAACTGGTTACATCGTAAGAACTTTAAGGACATTATGATTTGGTTTTTATGAACAGTATTTTATGAACATTTCAAGTTAAGGATATTTTAAGAGCTGAAAAAAACATCTCAGTATTGGGCCAATTGACACTTTTATTGTTTTATATTGATCATTTATATTTAAGTAGTATTAGATATTATTATAGTTAACAGTCCTGTCATGCAGATAGGTTACGAATTTTCACCCTATCTCGCTTAGCTCACTAGCATCCAAACGTGTATACTGCATAATAATAGAACCAACAACACAAACAGCACCAGTCCAGAGTTACAAACCAATTCAGTTAAATCTCACTGACCTGAATCAATGGATATCGCAGCGGAAAATTGGTTCCATGCCGCCTGAAACTTTCCTTCAACCTGATAGAGAGAACCGAAAGGAATCAGAAAAGATAATCCACAAATTGATCCCAGGTCATACAATCGAATGTTTCATAGATTACCCATTAAGACAGTTTTTAAATCCATGTATCTGTTCTTCGGTCACCGAGTCATTCGGACAGCCAGCTAGCTCGTCAGTCGGTCACAGAGACAGACAGACTGATGATCAGCAAGACAGACAGACAGTCCGTCCGTCCGTCAGTCAGTCGGTCAGTCAGTCAGTCAGTCAGCCAGTCAGCCAGCCAGTCAGTCAATAACTAGGTCAGTTATTTAATCTGTCGGTCTGAGAGTCAGTCATTTAGTCAAAAGTCAGTTATTTAATCCGTCGGTCAGGCAGTTAGTCATTTAGTCAAAAAGTCAGTCTATTAACCAGCCGGCAACACAGGGAGTCAGTCAGCCGTCCCACCATTCACACAAACAGTCAGTGAGGCAGCCTGTGAAAAAGGGAGGCTCGCAGGTAATTGATAATCAATTAAGCAATCAATACCTGCAAATTGTAGCCCAAGTTCACTCGCGCAGATAAACACAGTGGGTCCACGTGAAGAGCCTTCAAATAATCATGTCTGCAGTGGAAAGAAAAAAAAATACTTCGATAGCAAGCGGTTATGCTGAAAACTCCTTGTTTGTCTTTTCTACTCAATAAACTATTGGTAGACAACCTTTCCTGTGCGTGGTCCTCTGTATTGATCATTTCAAGTTAGGAAGCTGAGAAATGAAGGCCGTTAGAGGGCAAGGGTGGATCGAGTAGTTGACAAATAGACAAAATCCAGAAAGAGAGTGGGTAAATGGACAGGCAGGAGGTATGAGGGGACGTAACAGGAACACAAAAGGGTAAATAACTACATAAAGATGTTAGCAGGTGGTCGAGAAAACAAGAGAACGTATCTTAGTAGTCACCTTCCCAGAATAGTTCCATCTTCATGTCCAAAATCCATCAGAGCATTTCCACGTCCATTGTACGCTTCAACGAAGAACGGATCAATACGAAGAGCATCGTTGTATGACGAAACAGCTTCCTCCAAGCGATTTAACCTGAGTAAAGCATCAAACAGAGGAGTGTGAAGACAGGCATAGCCTTGGTTGTTTATATTATATGTTACCAACGACAAACATTTGTCTGAAAATCTCTTGAAACGAGAGTAAAGCAGGGACCCCGAGTGAGGTTCCTGATAAACACAGACTTTTATTAGCTGCACACAGAGGCGAGATTAAAACCCAAACCCTGCTTGAATTTCGCTGGAGGTGGAGGCGTAGTCATAACTTCCATAGTATACCAGCTAGCGTGTCCTCGTGATTTAGGGAGCTTGAGCATAAATGTTTTTGAGACGCGGACGGCAGCCGGTAATTAAATTCTCATTTCTAATGCTCACTAAACCTTTTTGGTCTGCAAAGGTTGGCTTGAAACGTTAAAACGACGACCTCACTGTGAATACATTGGCGTCAAAGTAGGCCAGAATTGATTTTATTCTTCTTCTGTTTACCGTCCGCGTCTCAAAATCGTCTCCGCTTGAGTTCTCTAAATAAAAAATTAACAAACATTATTAGATCAGCTGGACGCGCGTTTTTCCGCCCGCAGGAAGATTTGAGACGAGTCGGAGAGAGGGTTGCTTGGAGTCTGGCACTAATAAATCAGTGCCAGACCCCTTGCAGATCTTTCGCTAGCTAGCGTTACTGAAGTCCTCCTACTTTCCAGCGGATTACTCTGGATAAGAACGACGACCAGCACTCACTTGTGATAACAAAGACCCAGTGTGTGACGTATATGAGGGTTGCTTGGCGACACCTTAAGGCAAGATAAAAATTGACAAATTTTACTTTACAGCACACCAAACAAAGAGAACGACCAAAGGCACTAAACGATAATAAAAAGGAAAGTCTTTAAGGTACCTTTGCAGCAGCCAGGAAATCTTGTAGAGCATTTTCCATGTCATCTATATCGTAATAAAGCAATCCTCGATTCTGCAGAACCTAGATTGCGACGGGAAAACGAGGACAACAGAATACGTAAGCCTAAGAATTCAGCAGATCTCTAGACAGGATAAAATCCCATAGTTTCCGTACGGAACTAACAGTTAGCCCTATACCACGGCGGTCAATCGTCGAGCATGCGCAAGGAGACCAATCTTTAGTGACCACGGGCGAATTTTCCGCCCAGATTTTTCAAGGAAAACATAAGAAACAACCACTGCCACGCAAAATATGAGGGAAAAAATGGAAGTGTCCAAAGATATCTGTAGAAGGAAATAAAAGTAAGGAAAAGGAAACCTTGAAATTTTTCGAGCGGAAAGCTTATTTGATTACTGGCATCCTGCTACTCTACCATTTTTTTAAGCTTTATCAAAAAAGTAAAACGCTTGTGAGACACACTCACTTACGGATTTGAGTGAATGCTTATAATTCCAGTAAGACAACGTAGTTCTGAAAGCCTCAAAGCATGGCACCTAGCCACTACATATTTTGCACATAAGCAGACGTTTGACCGCAAGGGTTAGCCTAATACTACCAAGATCAGATAAAGCGATTCAGGATTTCGCGGCTCGATTCTCAATAAATGGAATGTATCATGATCACATTACACAAGTTTTGAAAAGATCTTCATTGGCTAACCGTGGATAATCTAACTGTTTTTAACATTTTGCTTTTTACTCGTAAGGCTGTCAATGTTTTAGTCCCAGCACACTCAGTGAATTGGTCAAGGTTTACTCTCCTAAACGTAAACTTAGATCTTCTCCACAACAAGTTTTATTTTATACCTTTCTCTAACATGAATAGATATGGTGACAAAGCTTTTGCTGTCTGCGCACCAAATGTGTTGAATAGCCTTCCATAACATCGACGTAACAGTTCCTCTTTATGCAATTTAAAGTAACTTGAACACGCTTCTTTCTGAGTGGGCCTTTACTTCATAAGTGTGCGGTATTCAGCTTTTACTTAGTAAATATACCATTCTGTTTGTTTGATTTTTAATACAATTCTGTCAAGCGCCTTAGAACTTTCGGATTTTGCGCCACATCAATTGTAATTATAATCATTGTTATTGTTACTGGTTCTCTCATATGGTTGCTTTATATTTTATTATGGATTGATTAAGAGATGTTGGTGTTAAATCAAGACAACACCCTTTGACTGATATGTCTGTCTATTCTCATTACCAGTTAGATGTATTATATATATCTTATCAACCAAGCGCGAGGGCCGTACTGGGAGAATATCGGCCCGAGGTCTTGACAGTACGGACCGAGCGCAGCGAGGTCCGTACAAAAAAGACCGAGGGCCGATATTCTTCCAGTACGGTCCCGAGCAAGCTTGATTAATAAGAGATTTATTATACGACTGAAGTTCAAAGGGACACAAGTGCGGTATCATTCGGGACCATTCGGGACAGTGCCCGGTCCAATACTGAGAGAATATTGACCGGCAATAGAGCATTTTGATTGGTTGATTTTAGTTATTGGCCCTCTGACTGCCGGAGTCGTGTAATAAATATGGATATTGTAAGGAAACGTTACACGAGGATCAATTCCGAGAGTTGTAAGCTTTACTAGATAGGCTCACCTTAATATTGGGAGAATCGTCAAGTAGCATTACTGTTCCATAATCCATTAGCGCCTAAGGATTTGTGAAAAAAATTGAGGCTTAAGGAAACTGTTTTTTATTTTTTTGTTTTTTTTTGAGCATGCAACAAAGCAATAAAATCTGAGACTCCACTAGAAATCGAACCCAGACTGCACCATTGGATTGCAACATTGGACTGGACCATTGGATTGCAACATTGGACTGGACCATTGGATTGCAACATTGGACTGGACCATTAGATTGCAACATTGGACTGGACCATTGGATTGCAACATTGGACTGGACCATTGGACTAGACCATCGGGTTGGACCATTAGATTGGACCATTGAATAAGCCTCAGGGAACTAACTGGCAAAATAAGCCATACTCTGGGTTCATGAATGACAGGCGTTTTGCATACTACAAGGTCGAAAGTGCCGTGTGTGTAAATAGAATAAGAGAGATATTTAATTTTGATCATGGACGTCAAGGAGAAATTTCCTTTGCCCCACGCTTGTAGTACAAAATCTTTCCTTGTTCGAAGATCTAGCTCATAATTTACCAGATTTCCTATTCAACAAACCTAGAAGTTGATGTAGAGATAGGTATGAGTTCAAATCAAACACGTATTCACAAAGCAGTACCAACCTTCTGAAAGAATCTCATTTCATGGTAGCACACAGCACGGTTGAAGAAAGCCAGTGAGCATTTGCAGTCGATTGCCACAGCTTCGGTAAGATCCTTAACCGCTAGACTGAAAGCTTTGATGTTGTACTTCAACGCTCCCCTGCAAGTTACAGTAAGACAAATCTCTATTCTCACAAGCTTCGACCTGCCGCTTACTCATACGTTTGTCTTTCGTTTCTCAGTTCTTTTATTTCGTTGTCGTTCATTCACTCATAAATTTGTTTATTTGTTCGTAGTGCGTTTGCGCGTTCATAAGTCATTAGTTGTTTCGTTCAAAAGCTTATTTGCCCGTTCGTTGTTCGTTTGCAAGTTCGTGTGCACTTTCGTCGTTCACTCGCGGGTTTGTTCTTTCGCCTTCACTTTCGGTTGGACCATTCGCTCATCACATTACCCAATATTGTTCATCGGCTTGTCACAGCTCTTTTCGAGTCTTAAAATATCACACCGCGTGATTTGCACTAAGTGTATAATAGTTTTGGCGCCAGAGCGTTGTCCCAGGGAGTCTGGGCACCAACCTCCACCTTTTATTTAAAGACGCAACGAATTCGATATTGTACATAACGGTCAACCAGAGATCACATAAAGATGTATAAGATGTATGGAATACCCTACGAATTGTAAGTTACATTTCGTTGAACTCTCAAATGTTATTCTATATTTAAAACAACCTGTATTTGTTTTTTAGTTTGACTTGCTTCCTCTGGCAACTAGTACGAAAATAAACGGGTCACCATACATCTGTAACCTTCAAAGCTACAGTAACGCTTCACATCGCAAGCGCGAATCACCGCGCAAATGATAGAGTTCTTATCTCGGCGAACCCAATTACAATTCTCAAACGTTTTGGTGGGAAACTAACCTGTAAAGGTAGGCCCTAACACTGCGGGGTTGGAGCTTAATGGCCTCATTACAGCTCATGATTCCTTTACTGTAGCGTCCCTTCATACCATAGTAAGCTGCTCGACTCAAAAATGCCTGAGGAGGAATTCCATTACTATGTCACGTTTCGCCTCACAGTTGCTAAACAAATATTTGCATTGTACCGCAATGATCTTTGTTTAGAGGGATTTCTCCCGCTTGTATCTGATCACAAACCTCCGTTGTAAGTTGGACTAAAAGTGGACTACTTACACCCCCACCTTCTTCTTATGCAGGCAGTAACTGTCACGTGATTGAACTGAAATCGCCCAATTCGTGAGGGGGGGAGAGGGGGGGAGCTAAAATAGTGTGCGCTGACCAAATGAAAAACGCAAGAAACAATCCTAAGTTTCAATATTGCCTTTTAAAACACCCTCAGCTTAATGCATCTAGAAGGTTGAAACTTATCGGAAGGAAATTTTCGTTACAAAAACTGTTAGTCTATAGATAAGACCTTAGGTGCGCGTAAAAATGCCGAGTGGTAAAAGTCACATAGATGAGGAAATACTCCTAACAAAAGTCTATTTTTCTCAGGGTATACATGCATCAGACTTTACGCAAACAAAAAGGAAAACAATGTAAGACAGTTTTCAAGTGGATTCAAGTGGGTTTCGTTTTGGAGTAGATCACGAAGATCACTTTTTTTTTTTTCTCTATAAAGGATATTTCAGGGTTTCTGGGAGGTAAGGCTACATTCATAAGTTCGTTAGGGCTAACTATAGAAATAATTGGAACTTTTACGATTCTCTCCTACTGCTGACCTGGAAAAGTGTTGGCTTAATGGCCAATGCTCGGTTAAAATCATGGATTCCTTTTGCGTGCTTCAACTTCATCTTTGTCAGTCCGCGCTGATAGAAAGCCTGTCAAAGATACAGCAACCTTTTAGCTCAAAAATCAGAAATTTCTTCTATAACACGCACAGAAATTCCCTTCCATACCATCTTGAAGAGTGTAAATTTAGCGCAGGATGTTAAGAGTGATGAAGAGTATTCAATGGAGAGCAATTTTAGAGCGCTTTTCGAATGAGTCGTAGAATGCGAACCAAAATAATTGGAACGACCAATCAGAAGAAAGGAAAATATCTTAAAGAGCCAATCAGATCTTAAAGCAAAAAACAAGCAAACTGCCTAAAGCGTGGGAAAAGGGTGGGTGAACAAGCCGGGATTGGGTTTAGTTTCGCACCTGATTGGTTGATAGGTTGGCGCGAGTTTTCTTGACCAATCACAGAGCCAAGTGAGGCTAAACCAATGCAATCCCAAATTACTTTCGACACTTATTTTGAAGTTGCTGTAATCGAGTGTAGAGAGTAGACCAGGATTGCAATGACTTTTCTTTATTTCGCTCCAAGATTGGTCAAGGAAATTCGCCCCACCCTCTGAACCAATCATATCCAAGAGAAAAACCAGTCGTCACTCCTTCACTCGCTATATAGTTCCCGCACTGCTTGACAAATCGACAGTGATTTAGTGTGGTCTGTGTTCTTATCGACAATGATACTCGTCATCACAGTGGTCACAATGTTGTAGACTCACGAGGCGCAGCCGAGTGCGTCCGCAACAAATTTTGACGACTGCGATGAAGACTATCGTTGTCCATAAGAGTACAGACCACGCTTAACGACTGTCGCTTTGTTTTTTTCACCATAACTTCTCTAGCATAATAGTGCGTGACGCGTTGTGTGACGCGTTGTGTGACGCGTTGTGTGACGCGTTGTGTGACATGTTGACGCGAGCAGCGTTGTCTGTATTCTTATCGACAACGCCAAATGGACAATCAGATTGCGAAATGACAGCAAATTCTGGTAAAAAAGCACTTGGCATATTATTAGATTAAAGTTTTCACTGGCGCATTGTGATATTTGTCTTTGTTCTAAATGACATAGTCACGTGTGTCAGGTCACCTCGGAAAAATCGGGGTTCACTCGAATAGCATTATTAAAAGCGTCCAGAGCACCAAGTGGCCTTCCAAGCTCTGAATGACACATGCCAATCAGGAAATGAACAGATGCAGCTTCTATTGGCATTTCCATTCGAGGATTCCACGGAGTCTAAGGAAAAATTTCAACATTATACGATCACAACCCGTATGTATCCTTGATAACAATACAATTGTAGCACTGCTGGAGAGAACTCCTACACACAACCTCTCGGGGAGTACTCCCGGGGAGTACTTCAACCTCTCGGGGAGTACTCCCGGGGAGTACTTCAGGGGTCAAACCAGTAGAGTGGTTGACCTGGGGCCCTTTTCTCGAAAGTTCGGTAACTTAACGGTCCGTAAAGCTTTTCTGTTTTTATTCAAGATAGGGATTTCAAAACGTTTGAAAATAATACAATAAAACTATCCGCTAAAGAAACAAAATGGACTGGTTTAGGTGCCGAAACCTGCTTTTCAACTTTTTAAATTTTGATTTACCGGGACTTTCGAGAAACGGGCCCCAGGAGTCAACTCTGACTTTTTCCACGTGATTTGGTCCATTTCTTCATAAAGAGAAGGGGGAATTAGCAGGAACGCAAGACTAACTTTGCGGTAAGATTCACTCAGGCAAGGCGAGTGAGGCCCACAGGGTGAGACTTATTTCGTACTCACCATGATCGCGATGGCTCTTTCAAAACTCCTGATGGCGTTCTCAAATCTCTTGGCCTTCATGTTGGTCTTACCCAATAAAATGAATAATGGTGCTATAGGTTTCACGCGGGTGGCTCGTTCGAGAACTTCAATGGCCTAGCGATCAGTTGTAATAGACGGTATTAATTAATCAACGAGGAAATTCTAAAAATGGCATAAATGGGGTAAAATGGACGAAGGAACAAAAGAACGAAGGAATGAAGGCACGAAGGCCCGAGTGTACGGGCAGACGAACGAAAGAAACTCCCTGAGAAAATTCCAAGAGCTCAGGGAAGGAAAACCATATGACAAGGAGGACACTAAAGACAGTGTTGTCAGTTTAAGAGCAGATATCATTGTCACTGGTTATTACAACGGTTACTGGCCTTTTCGACTCGAAGCAACATTTCCCTGACAATGACGTTTATATTACCTGATCGAAATTTTTCAAGAAGCTCTGAACTACAGCTTGTTGAGTCGCCGATGCTCCAAGTCCCTGGTTCAAGTCTGCAGCTTGCCTAATGTAGTGAAAGACTGCATGAGAAACTCGATACAAAGTAAGACTTCAGAGGTTAAGAGACGCGCCATTACTTAGACAAACAGATCATGAACGAACATACCTGACGTGGAAACTTGCAAGCTCTAACTTGTTTTCCTCCAATAACAACTTTCCCTGAAAATACAAAGCCTTTTTTATTCATGCATTCAAGAGGGCCCCTTCCGCTTCCCACAGATATAGGTGTTTTAGCGCAATCGTGTATTGCTTTTGGCGATTCGATCACCGTCAAAAACCGTCATAGAGACCTCCCAAGACTATCACGTGTACATGACACTAACACAGCGGCTAAACGTCCACGCAAGTGCAAACATTGTCGTGTACAGGTGGTTTGCTTTCAGGCTATCAGAGCCAAGTTGTCAGAGAAGTCATAAGCAACTACGCAAGCCAGTAAGTCGCAGTGTTTTGAAAACGTATAAATGCGTTGATACAGTTCACACTACAAAATATGATAAAACAACAGATTAACATACAATTCAATAATCTTTGCAAAGAATAAGAATAAGAATATATAAGAATATATAAACTTCGTAATGGGCCTTGGTCACCATGGAGTCCTTGCGGTTCAGTAGTAGAGCATCGAGCGCGGAATCCGAAGGTCTGAGGTACGATTCCTTATGGGGACTGACAATTTTTTCTTTGTCGCACGCCCGTGACAAGATAAACAATATCTTTTTATACTAAATAATCTTTGTATTTAAAAAGTCTCAAGTTTTCATTTTCTTTACTTTCGTTTCCTTTTGCAGTTTTCCAGGAACTTTCAATTTTTTCTTTTTTCGCATATTTTGCGTAATGACAATAGTTTCTCATGTTTGCTACAAATTTTGTTCAGGAAAGTGGCTTGGGGCCGGCAAAATTGATCCCCTTACGCATGCTCTACGTTCAACCGCTGTCTTGCATGGCATCATCAAATTACATTATGCCGATTGGCAACGCCCACTGACAACTTACGTCGGCCAAATACCTACATACGGTTCCCGTCTCCTCATTTCCCATCCCCTGCTTCTTGCAATACTTTTCCCCTCCACCAGGATTTTCAAATTCAAAAGAGGAGAATGTGAAGTTGTGCACTTACCCTCGCCATGTGGTAGTCTGACACATCCGGTCTCATGTGAATGACTCTTGTGTAATCCAAGATGGCATCTTGAGTCTGGAAACCACAACGATAATAAGAAGCTAGATCAAGTATAAGTTGACGATGGCTCTTGATGGTCTCTACACGTTGACCATTAGGGACCGGTCATTATTCATCACCAGGAAGGGGGGGAGGTTCGATGAATTTGGTTGTATTACGATAAAACTTTATCTGAATTCCCTTGTAAGGCTCTGAAACATTCTCATGATCCCCTCTCATTGTCAGTTAGTTGAAAGTCAATATTCTACAGTCTCCACTTTCTACTCTGTCGGCGACGACTGATTTCCCCTCTATTTCCCCTGAAGACCATGTAATCTCCTCCAATATCCTCCGTCCCCCCCCCAGCGATTAATGATGACGGGTCTATTAGGTCTACAGGGAAATTTCAATTGAGGGACTAAAGTAACTCGAAAGTACATTGGTTCTACTTTTCTACGCTCTGCGATGAATCCAAAAGCTCCGCCACTCTCTAAAACGAATCGCCACTTGGTTACTCGCTTTTTCTCGCACTTCAAAGAGTTTGCTTGTATTCACTTAAACGCAGTATTGGCCGCTTTTAATATTTACTTCTGTCCTTATTGGCAACATAAGATTTTGATATCTAACTACACTCCGTAGAGTACAAATAACGCCATAGACGAGTATAAATATCACGCGGTATTTGTAATCCAGAGAACTGGTTAGACAGGTTTTCTCGCATCGCGCAGGCGAAGAATTGGATTGAAGTTACGAAAAAAAAAATGGCGGACAATTTAAAAATAACTCGTTATTTGTATTTTGACTTTCCCTACGGCTCGTCAAAATACGGTACATCTCGTAAAAATACTGAGCGATACTACACAACAAAACGTCTAATAAGATATACATCTTCTCAACACTCGATCCAAAATCCGCTCTTCATAAGAAAAAAAAAAAAACCACACACACAGAAAGAACAACGCACCTAGTTGAACAGCCAATTTGCGTGCCTAGAAATTTACTCATGGCACAAACTACCGTGAAACTGCTGGAAGTACATTTTTCACAGCTCATCAAACTGAATCGGAATTTAAATTCTATTAGACAAAACTCGTTACCCACCATGTGGAGTTTGTGATAAGCTTCTGCTCGGCAGATGTAAGCTCTGATGTATGTCGGATCCACTCGAATGGCTGCTGTGTATCGACGAACAGCTCTGATAGGAAAAACAACACCAATACCGAAAAAGGAATCATCAAACTGGAACTTTTGTTTCAGTTTGACATAAACCTTCTGGATCAAAGTCAGTATCTGATCAACTGCGCACCCACCCCTCCCCTAACCCAAAAAACAATGAACTGATAACAAGGGGAGGGGTAAGTGCGCAGTTGCGCAGTTGCTCAGATACAGACCCTTTTACCATTGCGACAGCTATGTCAATTAGAATATTACAAAGTGTTCGAGGGAGGTGACTCTAGTCATTTAGGATGGTTACCATGGAGGTAAAAAAGGAGCCTAGCTCAATTAAAAAAGACCCAGATTTTAAAAGAAAGAAAAAAAGGATAAAGAAAAAGAGGAGCTCACTTATGGTAATTACTGTATTTGATTATGCAGATCAAACCGACATTGACATGCGCACTGGCTAAATTGGAATCCAGTTGAAGTGCAGCTTCAAAATCAGGAACAGCATCTTCCCATCTGTAAGATGATGAAAAAGGTGATTAAAAGAGTTGTCAGTTAGGTGGATGGTTACTCTTCCTCGATAATATGCAAGTCAATACGTTGTAGTTTATCCCCACCACCCATTCATAGGTTTATGAAATTCCCTTGCATGTTGATGGAAATAACTTGTGAGTCTGTCAGAAAAAGTTTCACTTTTTAATTGTAAGGAAACAAGTAGAAATATTTTGTGAACAAACTCTTTGAGATGAGGGCGAACTAGCAGGAGGGGGTGGGGGACCTGCAGTGAGGCGAAACTCCAGAGAGGCACTGAAAGAGTAACGAGTCTTCTCCAAGAACATAACTCGGTGACTGTATCCAGGCAAACGAGCTTAGAGTTTTGCCAAAAGAGAGATATTTTTAACTCGTGGGATCCTACGAGTTTGAATCTTACTCTTACTCAAAGAAGTGGTTCCTTTTCAGGAAAAGTATCCTTAGAGCCCTTTTGATTGAATGTCAAAAACCAAAACCAAACTTATCACAAAAGCCAATCAGATGAAAGGAAAATACCTCTAGGAGCCAATTAGATTCTANAAGTGAAGCAAAAACAAAGCAATCGGGACACTGTAATTTGGTGTTATCAACTGAGTTGATAATGTAAATTGGCCACCGTAAAGAGTTTAAAAGCTGACGTTTCGTGCGTTAGTCCTTCGCGACACCCATTTGAAAATAGCTATAGTTTCAGTTGTTTCATGCCGTGTGCGCAATTTGACTCCAACGCTTAATCTTACCTTTTCAAATCAGTGTACAAAATTCCTCGATGTAGAAAAGCTTTGACATTATCTTCAGAATTATCCAGAAGAAGAGACACACTGAGATCCTGTAGAGCTCTCCGTGGGTGAACTCTGGAACAAGAAAGTATGTTGGAACAGTTTTTGAAAGGACACTCATTTCACATTTTAACACAGAAATGCGACTGGTAATGGTAACTTCTCACTTTCTCAATAAACATCCTCTGTGGTAGAATGCCACTGCATTGTTAGGATCATAATGGACAGCAGCAGCAAGGTCTTTCAATGCAGCCTCAAAGTCATCCTGCAACAAAGTGGAAATTCTCCACATAAGAGAAACTGCTGTATGGTTAGGAAAATAGCTTCTTCCCAAAAGTCACATTACCAGTCCCCGAAACCCCACTGGCAATTTCTGAAAGCAAGAAGCTACGTGAAAGAGGCGCTTAAGAGTTTGGAATGAGAGCTGTGTGCACGATACCTTTGTGAGGAGAGCTGGAACGAGAGCGTTATCGAACAAAAATGCCAAAAACATTCTGAGGAAACAATGGGAAGGCAGAATGAAACTGACTCACCATGTGTCTTCTTTGTACCCAAAAGTTATAGCGCCTCAAAGGAGCTGTAACATTGTTGAGGTGGAGGGAGATGGGGAGCTTTGCATTAACTCTGATATTTCAACAGTTAAACACAGGTGACACATGAAAGAAAGGTGTGGCTAATTGGGCTCTAAGTGCGGAAAAATTTATTCATTACACGGCATACCATCTTGGCGTGAACTCTTGCCCTGTAAGTATAAGCCTTTGAGTCCTTTGGGTCCTGCTCGAGAATCTCTGTAAAATCTCTAAGAGCAGCAGTCCAATTTCTGTGTTCAGCAAATATCAAGAAAACGTCAAGATCGTTAGGAAAGTCCATAGGCATTCAAAAGTATTTTAATACTGGTTGGAAAGAAGCACTACAGAATCAAAGCCGTACCTTTCTCAGAGACAACACCGTTCGAATGGGAGGTATCCTCTGCGTTAGATTATTTCATTGTCTCCCATAAGATCACAATAAGGCAATTGATAATCGATACAAGATCGATTTTAATTCGATACTCACTCGTTTTTAAAACGAAAGAGGCCTATCTCGAACATGGCATCCGTCTTCGAAGGCAAAAGCTTTGCTGCAATTTTATAATCCTCAAGAGCTAGAATCAAATCACCACGCTGAAAACAACAACAACAAAAAACAAACAAAATAAACAAACAGATTAACTGAAAGTGTCACTTCCTATAGATTTCGATGGAATCTATATTCCGACTAAGCATGGATCAAGGCTGANCGGAGCTCCGACGAAGTGCTAACGCTCGAAACGTCAGCTTTTTTAATCGTTACGGTGGCCAATTTACCATTTCAACTTTGTTGATATATCCAAATTATAAGCATGGATCAACCTTGAAAAAGCAGTCGGCATAATTACCATTTTAAACATGGCTGCTCTCTGGTAGTACGTCTCAGCATCATCAGGATTCAACTTGATTGCCTAAATATTTATTATCAAACTCGGTTAATTCCATTTGTACATAAAATCAAAATCAATAAGGGCGGGATAAAAGAAATATAATGGCATCATTGCCGTACTTTACTACCTGGGAGTAATTGACGATGGCCATTGTTGCATCATTTTCTTGCCGATATAATTCTGCCCTGCAATTTAGAGGAACACATGCTGGTTTATGCCCAACGAGCGAACCACAAATGATACCACCCAGTTACTGGGAGCAGTTTAAAATAACATGTCGATTACTTTGCTTCCCTTCGCTCTGTGATTGGTACAGAAAACTCGGACTACCTTCTCAAACAATCAGATGCAAAATTAAAGCCAATAACGGCGAGGTAATAGGGGGCCTGGAGATGAAGGAGGAGATCCAAGGAATTTGAAAATTGATGGATCACTTCGGTTCCACGACAGCCGGCTGCCACATTAAGGCGTCCTCTATCTAGGCGTACCTGTCTTCCTGATCTACGTCTACACCCCACCCTATTCTACTGTATTTCTTTGAATTTGAACTTCATATATCCATTGTTTCTTTGAATTTCTCGCTTTCACCGTCCAAATCACGTTCTAAAAGGTTTTAACGGAGCTTGACGTTGCGGTTTGTGTACCATGAAAAAAAACCCTTGTCATTCGCAGTCAGTGTGTTATTAATAATAATAATAATAATAATAATAATAATAATAATAACAGTAATAATAATAATACTGATAATAATTTTGGGGTGGACATTTCGCATGGCGGCTCTTCCTTTCCACTGTTTCCAGGTCAAATTGAAATTTAGAGCGTTGTTTTGTCTTCTATCTCAGCCCTCGTTCATATCCGTTTATTCTTAGCATTTGATTGATGTTTTACTACCATAGTAAGCCATATTCTGTGGAACTCGTGTTCTTTTTTTTTACGTCGTTAACAGACGATACAGAAGTATCCCAACAAAGCACCTTTCAGCAAGTTTCCTTCCATGCTTCAAAAGCGAACTGCAATAGTGGAGCTTACATATAATCAGCGACCCAACTGCTGTTGGGTTCTACTATTCCTATTGTTTGCCTATGTCTGTCTCTAATGAAACTAACCTGGATCGAAACGCACGGGCTTGACTGCTGCTGTTCTTGATGATGAAAGACAAGTCCTCCAGAGCTGACTGAAAGACGCAATGATATAAACAATAAAACAACAAAAAGAAACAACCAAATTGGTTGCGAATAGTTTCGGCGCCACTAGCAAATGAGAAACTTATATATATATATATATATATATACAACTCGTATAAACTTGACTGACAGTATCTGCTGCACAGAGAAAATTAGATCTACGTAAGCCAAAGAAGCATAAAGGACACTTAGTATGGAATTGTAAAATACGACTGATCTAGCGGTTTTGGATACATACGATGACGATCCACAAACGAAGATGGATTATGTGCCAATTGCGGGGACAACATAAACCAATTTGCAACAATTTCTTTCACTTGATAGTACCTTTCTGTTATCTTGTAGAAGATGCAGCAGATGCCTGTGCCAGTACGCGTCAAGCAGTTTCGGCTCCAGTTCAATAGATCTGTAATTATAGCAAGAAAAAAAACTTGTCGGGGCGAGTTTCAACTACGTAGTTGATCCAGTAAAAGATAGAACCGTAAAACTAGCTTGGATTGGACAAAAATGCGTCACTAAACATGAAATAGAATAAAGAGATCTGTCTCATTGTTTTACCTGTTTAAGTCATCCCAAGCTTTCTTTATATGTCCAAGCTGCCGATAAAAATAAAATAAAATTATTCAACGACACTATATGAGTGACAATCATTCGTAAAGAATTTCTTTATTGTAAAAAAAAAAGATAGTCGCCTGAAAAACAACAAACTTTTGGGTTTGTGCAAAAAAGTTTCCTGATCCTAAGGAAGCAGAATAATATTCTTGTTGCCACATCTGCAGCAAATGACCTTACACATGCTGGGGGGAACTAGAAATGATCCAGAAAGGTCTTTAATTAACAAGTCCAGAGAGAACCTGGCTTCAAAAGAGCGGGAGAGAAGTAACTCTGTCGTCTGATCAAATTGAATAACCAGTGGGAGATTTTCCATCTTTTGTCAATAGTCTATACCTTATCAGCACGGGTAAATGCTGTAAGCTCAAACCCAATTGGCGGGTACCTATGGCAGACCATGAAGTTTTATGGACTGTGAAAGGAAGCTAGCTACCTTACGGCTTGTCTAGTTTAAAGAATGAACATAAGTTTTTTCTTAATGTCTTTTTACAATCCATAGTAATCTTCTTCATCCTCGACCATTCTTTTTACCTTTTGATTTATCAAACCCCTTTGTTGCTTTTCTCCTCCAGCAAACAATTAAAGAGCAGATTTCCTACCTTTAACCGACAATTCTGAATAAAAAAAAAACAGGTCCGAAATATCCTAAGTATGCGGAGTCTTTTTAAAATGATCATAACAGACACTGAGCAGATCTCACAAGCGCTTTTCAGTGCTTCAAGTGCCTGATTCATCGTACCTTTCGGTAAACAGCGCCCCGTCGGCATAAATGGATGGCTAAAGATTCCTTTCCTTGGATTGTGTCTAACAGAACAGTCAGTCGGTCAACTTCCTCTTGAAGAGCCTGAGGTATTTAAGGACAAAGCGCTTCTGTTAGAATCAGAAGAAAGAATAAAGATGAACACGAAGGTAAACAATAGTGATAAAAACTAATTATGAAGAGCCAAAACGACGAGAAGTAACGACAAAATTAACTTTAGTGTAAATGCGAAACCTAAATGCTGGTTCGTACAGTTTTTACTGCCTTTCAGTCTGTATACGTGATCAGTAGGACGCTTTTCGCAACAAACGTTTGCAAGAAAACGCTGCAGACAGAGGTTTATACCTGGAATACATGTACGGACTGGGCGAGAAAGCTGTTTAGTGACGTATGTTGCGCGAGACCTTACTTTCCTCAAACGCCGCGCTCTTTTGAAGTAGAGAAATTAATAAGATGATCAAACTTAACCAAAGTATATCCAAAACAAACAGGGTTACGAAATGAAAGCTCACATTGGTCGTTACCACGTTGCAACCATTATAATGTTCACCTGGACATTACACCCTCTTGCCTTTTGCTAAACAAGTGAGAAAAAGAAGCGCACCATACCTGTATAGAAGGCAAACAATGAAAACGACTTGGTTCTAACTTACTTGGTACAATTCTTGGTCTGAGCTTTGAATCTCCGGCTCAATAACTTGTATATCGTCCAAGATATTATTGTCAATAACAACCGCTGAGGACTTGCTGCAAAAATCAAACAGAACTCAATTTTATCCGCATGTAAAATAGTAGAAAATTATTGTGGGAAAAAAAACCAATTTACTCTTACTCCCCAAACGTTTGCACTATTTTCGAAGCAGCACCGCTAGAAGAACATAAACGTGTTTGTGAGACTTAAATACATCATTAAAGGTTCCCTAACTTCACCAGGTTTTCTTTATGTGGAGCCTAGCCAGCTACACCATTCATTCAGCTCGTCTCCCATTTTTTGAAGCCAATTTAAATTCAAAGTCGAACGTAATCCGGGATTCCTTTGGTTTTGCTTTATCTTGCTAGGTGATTGGTCCAGTAAACTCGCGCCATTTCTAAACCAATCAGATACTAAACTTAAACCAATAGCAAGTTGGTCAGTTGCGTTTTCCCGCGCTTGAAGAAGTCTACGTGTTTTTACTTTAAGTTTTCATTGCTTGCTCCTGATATTTTCCTTTCATCTGATTGGTCTATGTGATTACTTTGGTTTTCATTCTACACCACATGATCGAAAACACTGATTTAAATGATGCGTAGTTTTGCCTCACCTTGGTGTTGGTGGTCTGGGAGATGCAAAACTCTGCAGATCAACTAGAGAAAAAAACATACAAACAAAAACAATTAAAAAAAGGAATTTTTTAGTGAAAAAGGAAATTAAAAGATAAGTTTAGCCGATCCTTCTAGTGGAGCTCCAGTTGGTTCACCGACTTACCAGATTTCCTTCATTAGTTAGTAACACCGCTTACGCGCCTGCCGCGCTGGAGCTCCTCTATTGAAGAAAGGGTAGATGCTATCATGACGAATAAAACTAAAGAAGTAACTTTACATTTTCGGAAGCATATGGCAGCTACTAACAAATTGATAGTTGAAAATGATTCGAAAAACATGATATCCTGTACTCCGCAGGACACCTTGCCACTGCGGGACTAGTGCCGATCTACGATGTAACCGATACGTTTTACTGGGCTCAGATGCAACAGATGCAACAGATGTCTGGCATGTCCTGTTGCTTCACCGACGTCAACTGAAAAGTAAGTGGGGTTTCAATAACTTTTTCCATGGGCGGCTACCGAAAGGGTTATAAGGGGGGAGGCTTGGGGTATCCTCCCCCAGAAAAAAAATTGAAATTTGAGGAGTCGTAGCTCACTCGTGTGAAAGCCCCTGCAAAACCCCCAAAACAAAAGAACCCGCTGAGCGCTCGCAGGCTAAACGAACAGCAGTAGGATGACCGCCAGTAACCGGCTTTTATTAACGTTTTTACTCCCAGAAGTGATCAACGAAAAACTTCTCCTTGTAGTTTCCATACATTATCCAGCAAACAGGTAATGAGGGTATTCAAAGTTATCGGGTAAAAGGTGTTACTTTGATCTAACACTAAATTCTCATGAATTTGTAAGGAAATGCGTAGCAGCTAGAGGGGAGAATTAACAATCACATCTTGGAAGTTAAATGGTTAAAACGCCTGAGGCAATGATATATAACATGTTTAAAGGGTTTATGTCGGACTAATTTGATGACCTGCTCCCAGTTGGCTTGTTAGCTCAATTGGTAGAGCGCTGCACTAGTATCGCAGAGGTCAGTGGTTCGAATCCCGTACAGGCCTGAATTTTTTCAGGTCTAATTTTCACTATTGCTTAAATAGTGCTCTTTACTGCGAGGATCGTGCACAAATACATGTTTAAGAACGTAAATCAACCAGTTGAACAACTCACATTTTATTTCAGGCACAGCAGGTGTAGGGGGATAAACTTCGTCGAACCAAACATACCAGAGACGTTCACGTACTTCATCAAAGTTTTCTTCGTCTGATCTGTTGGGGTAAATTTGAGAGAGTGACTAGCATTTAACTTTCTTATTACCCCTGAATCACGCCCTAAGGTCACAAGAATAAAGGAAATAATCACTAATTCAATTGTAAAGACGCGCTCGATTGTTAAACAAATTCTCCTTGGTAGTACCTTAGGAAATGAATTGAGAACAGTATGGTGAAGATGCATACTGACATTAATGTGTAAAGGTTTAATAACTGTGTGCATTGCGTGTATAGACTCTACTAGACGTCAGCTCCAACTAGAATGAACCTGGCTCTAGCCACCATCAAGTCGCATCTGTACCCAACGTTGCATCGTTGAGGTCATAAAAAAAAAAAACACATCCTTACCAAAGCTTATCATGATTTTTACTGCATCAACCTCGATAAGAGTATTTCTCCATAGATGTCGCAAGTAAGTCACAGAAATCATTTCGGTGACGTTTCGCAAAGTATTAGCGTACAGTCCTGGGGCCCGTTTCTCGAAAGTCCCTGTAACCTGACTGGCCCGAGGCTTTCCTTTTAAATCTGGACTTAAAGAATAGAAAAGCAGGTTGTGGCACCCTAACCAGTCCAATTTTTTTTCTTTAGCTGATAGTTTTATTACACAATTTTCAATACTTTTCAAACCCTCATCTTGAATGAAAACAGAACAGCTTTACGGGCCCGTCGAGTTACCGGATCCATCGAGAAACGGGCCCCTGGACGGCGATCTGATGAGCTCTATAAGACTAAAATATTTAGCTATGAAACATTCCTTCTGTGCCACACCTAAGACTCTTTACTTGAAGCCTACTCGTTGTGCTTCACCTGCAAGCTCAGTATGAACTACACTACGCAAAGGAAAAAAATGAAAACTTTTTCTACTCAAATATACATACCCAGTGAACTCGTTTTTGAAAACGTTGTCGAAGTCGAAAATTGCAGGTTCGCTACTAACTCTTATCAGTTCAGCCCTGTGGAAGAGAGTGGAAACACGGTTTACTTTTCTTTCGAATAAAGTTTTTAGAGCTTTTTCAATTTTCGTGACAATCATTTTTACCAACAAAAGATTTGTCCGATTAAAAAGCAAAACTGTAGAGAGTAAGTTTTCCCTTTCAATCAGGTTACCTTATACTAATGCTTTCCCTTCCCTCTGTAGTTGTTTCTTCGGCTAAAAATCTCATATCAGTGAGTGACTTACGTCTGTAACAGAAATTAACAAATTGTAAACACCACAGCGTACACTATTGAGTTATGGATGCACGCGGGAGGTTGCTAAGCACAAAAGAAGCGTAAGAGTCGCTCGAGGCGATAGCTGAGAGCGACTCTAGCTTCTTGAGTACTTAGCAAACCTCCCAAGTGC